TTATGGCCCTACAGTTCAGGCTGGGGCTGGGGGACTTAAGAGTCTAGAACAAGGCTCTAGCTTACCATGGAAGCCCCAGCAGCCAAAAAATGACATTTGCCTAAAGTTCATGTGTTTCACAGCCATCGGTTACAAATCAGTTAAACGTAAAATATGAACACATCCAATAGATACTGTGAAAGGGGAAGAAACTGCTCAAAGGGAAAGAACAATTTGGATGAGGGAAAAGACAAAAGAAAGGAAAAAATTTTATATATATATATATATATATATATATATATATATATATAAGATAAGATAGTTATACTACTAATTTCTCCTAGTTCATTGAAAAGGTAGGTTTGTACTAATATTATTTGGATAATTACATGCTGATATCTTGTACTTTGAGTAACTAAAGATAATAATATGCAGTGTATTAATCATTGGTATCTCCTATCATATTGTTTTGGATTTTTTTTTTTTTAAAGTGTTCACACCCTGGCTGTACCCCATAAGCGCTGTGGGATCTTAGGCAGGTTGTTGAACCTCCAACCCTGCTTCCTCATCTCTAAAGTAAGGATATTGCCATTTTTCCCCGGGATCCTGCTGATAAAGATTGAAAGCAAGTGTGTGTGCACGGTGCTCACCCACCCTGGGCCCCTGTGGCTGGGAGGCCCAGGGACAAGCTGCCAGGAAGTCTGCCTCCCTTCCTCTGTCCTGACCTCGCGACTCAGCGAGCTGATCCATCCACCCCAGAGCAGCCTGGGTCCTCCTTCTGCTTTATAAAGTCTGCTAGGGCTCTCCAGTCCCGCAGGCACTGACATGACCTGTCAGCAACACCAAGTATGTGCCCTTTTAGAGAACAGAGAAAGACTTCAGAATCAGTGCCTCTCTCACCCACTGCCTCTACCATTTGACATCAGCTCTGGGAGTCTGTAGACTGGGCTTGGACTGGTCCATAGACAACTGTGTGCCAGCCTCTGGTCAGGTGATGTGGCGCGGTGCTCAAACCTGTGATTGGGCAAAGGGACTATAGAGAGGAACTTATGAGGGGAGAAGAATGCAAGTTGTCAGCTGTGCTCCCAGTCTGGATTGGTGGCTGTGTCTCTGTGAGACTCTCTCCTGCTCTTGGGTGGGCTTGGTTCTGAAGCCTTCCATTATCCTAGCCTTCTTTTCTCTCACTTCTCTCTGCAGGAGTATTTATATCAGCTGGAACTGACTGCAGAGCAAGAGGAGCTTGGCCAGTTGGCCCTCCTTTCTCCTTGCAGCAACGATCTGGACCAGATAGGCATTTGTCCTAGAAAACTGTTGAGTGTGTTGTTGTTTTCCCATTTGGACTTTTGGAGGCTTAACCTTAAATCCCCAGCAAGCAGACACTACTGCATTCTCCTGCAGAAGCTGTCAGACTCTGAGGCAGCAGGAGAGGGCTTTGAGAGTGGAAAGCAGAGGGGCACAGTGGAGTCCAGGCAAGCAAGTGTCTGGGCGGTAGCTAGGGTATGCTAGAGCCATTGAAGGTGAAAGGTAGTCATCCGATAGAGACAGAGGTCCTTGGCTGTGGGCAATGAAGACGCCCTTGATGATGTACACAGAATGTAGCATGAGGTTGGTATTTTCTTTTTCACTTGTTTTTGGGAACCTGACTAATGTGCTTAGCAGAGGAGCCCTTCCACCTGACCCTTTGGGTGTCTCAGGCTGAACGTGCTGTGTCTAGTGTGATCACCCCAGAGAGCCTCTCGTTACAGGCCTTGTTGCTGCTGTGAAGGAAACTTGTGGTTGCTGCTTTCCTAGGGGAAGGACAAGGAACGCTGTCTTCTAAGGGTTAGGGAGATAGCCAGAGAAGCGAACAGCAATCTCAAGGAACTCAGTGCAGATTCCCCTCCCTGCTTTTTGCATCTGGTGATCTGATAGTCTCATATTTGCATTTTAGCCATTTCTGTGGTCAAAGGTTAGAACAGCCATATAGATAGGATGTTTAAAAATGTATGTATAAAATATTTTCCATTGACTGTTTTTTCTTTTTTGAGACAGGTCTCCCTATGTAGTTCAGGCTGGCCTTGAACTCACTATCTAGTCTAGGCTAGCATTGAATTTGAAGTGATCTTCCTGCCTCAGCCTCCCAGTTTTGGGATTACAGGTGTGCACCACCACGCTTGGTGTTTTTCCTGTTTGTTTGACATTAGCTGGATTTCTACTTGGATTGCTATTCCTAGTATTCTGCCTCAGGTGTGATAGAGTGTACCTTTCCACAGTTTATATGTTCTACTGTGTGTTTATGCCCTTTTGCCTATACCAATCAGTATCAGTCTTCCCCTGAGTACACATGATCAAGGCTCTGGGCCTTGGACCCATTACATGTTGAGTCATCTTACAGCTTTCTTCCAGAGAAGAAAGAGTGATTGTCCATCCCACTCCCATCCCTGTCTGTATATTTCACTGATTTAAGACTGCATTATGAAATGTAAATTTTTTCTAAGATAGGGTAGTGAACTTTTTCTATAAAGAATTAGAAGTCAGGTGTAGTGACACCTGGGATTACATGCCTGTAATCCCAGAACTTGGGAGGCTGAGGCAGAGGGTCACTACAAGTCTGAGGCCAGCCTGGGATACATAATGAGACACTGTCTCAAAAAAAACAAAAGAAGAAAAAAAGTTAGTATTTTAGGCCATGTAGAGTTTGCACAGCTATTTAATTCTACCAGCGTGGCCCAAAACTAGTGCAGTAGGTTGTAGTTGTTTTCCAGTAAACCTTTACTTACAAAAACAGGCAGCAGTCCAAATTTGACACAGGTTGTAGTTTGTGGGCCTCTGCTTTGGTATTTTGTGATTTCATTCTACTTTATAAGGTAGTATGTTAGCTTTCTGTCACTGTAACAAAATAACCCAAAAAAGCTGGTTGTGGTGGTTCACACTTGTAATCCCAGCATTCAGGAGCACCTGTAAGTGGGAGGCCAGCCTAGGGAGCCTACCTACTGAGTTAAAGGCGAGCCTGAATTACATAGCAAGACCCTGTCTTCATAAAAAAAAAAACAAAAAACCCAAGACACCTACATTTATTTATTTATTTATTTATAGTACTGGGAATTGAACTCAGGACCTTACACTTGCCAGGCAGGTGTTTGTGCCACTGAGCTATATCCCTGGCTCAATCACCTTTGAAAAAGGAAAAGGTTATTTTGCCTCACAGTTTTAGTCCATGGTTGGTTGGTTGATCTTGTTGCTTTTGGACCCATGGTGAGGTAGAACATCGTGGTTGTGTTGTAGAGGAAACCCTCACCTCATGGTGGCCAGGAAGTTGAGAGAGAGAAGCATGAGGGGCCAGGGTTCCCACATCCCCTTCAGGACCATGCCCCCAGGACCTGACTTCCTTCCCCTGCACCCTGTTTCCTAAAGGTCCCACTACCTCTGTTAGTACCATGCGTTGGAGACCAATCCTTCAACATAGGGCCTTTGGAGGACATTCAAGATCCAGACTTGAAAATAAAAAACAAAGACCCAAAGTCTGATGTGTGGAGGTCTAGAAAGAGTGAATCCTTAGCACACAGCTCTCTCACTACTTGAGATCTGGTTCTTGCATTAGATCAATGACTGAGCCTCTCTGAGCCTTGGAGTCATGACATCCTGGGAGTAAGATTAAGGGCTTACAGCTGAGTAAAGCAGGCCCAGTTCTGGCTTTTTAGTTAACCTCTGGCAGAATCTGACTCTTCTCAACCACTCCTTTCCCATCTCCACCTTGTTACACCCACGCAGTTGGATCCCTTATTTACCTGTATCTGTCCATCCGTCTGTCCATCCATCCATCCGTCCATCCATTGTATGTCCACACTGTATTGCCCAGCTTTTCTTGAATTTCTGGGTCATGTGACTTCCTGCTTTAGCCTCCCAGGTAGCTGGAACTGCAAGCCTGCACAGCTGCTCTTGGCCTCATGCAGTTGCCTCCTGTAGAAGCCTGAACAATGGGGTTGGAAATACCCTGAAAAAACAGTGTTGGAGGCCTTTGCATAGAAGACTATGTATGACCTGGACAAAGGTTAGCTTGGAGGTAGAAGTTGTCAGGAAGCCTCTGATTCATCTCTGGTGATACAAGAACTTGCTTCTAGGGTAAAGCAGGACTATAATCTACAGTTATTTATAAATTGTTTATTATGATAAATTTCAACACAAATTAACTACCCTGGCTACTCTTTTTTTCATCATATTCCCCTACTTCTTCCCACTGGAACTAAGGAAACTCTGGACATATTCCACCAGTAAACACTATTGTACAAGTCTCTGAAAAGGTATGGGAAAATGTAAAACTCTTAAGTCCTATTATAGGACTCCTTCAGCCAGAACAGTCCTTAAAGGAGAGAAGCTGGGCCTGGAGGTGCAGGTCTGTAATCCCAGCACTCTGGAGACTAAGGCAGGAGGATCACCATGAGTTCAAGGCTAGCATGGGCTATGTAGTGAGCTCAAGGCTTGAATTACAGAGCAAGACTGTCTCAAAAAACAAAAAGCAAAAAAAAAAAAAAAAGGGATTATTATTGATTTAGCTAAAACTTTGTTCTTTTTAAAAGATCTTGATTTTCCTCCTAATTTCCTTAATCAAAATGAATTTGTATTTCTGCCAAACCAGTACTGTATGACTATGCTTTTATCCTCTCCTACAGTGTGACATCATGAGCCTGTTGTGATAACATGCCTATTTGTCCCAAGCTGCCAGAGGCGTAAAGCCCTCTATATCCTGTTGAATTCAGGGGCTCTTAGAGGGACTTAGACTACAATTAGCTTGTCCAGACCTGGGTTTACTTGGGTAACCCCATTGCCTTTTGTAACAGGAGAGTGCTGGAAGAGCAGAGTGAGGAGGACCACCACCCACCAAGGAATGGAGAGACATCCCACAGAGCCCAAATTCAGCAACAGCAGTGCTGTGTGGAGGAGTTGAGGCAGCAGATCCAAGCAGAGCAGATTAGCGCTAAGAAGGAGCTGGAATTTGACCAGACTTGCACCCACCAGAAGATTGGAGATAGTAGGTGCCCTATGTCCTGAGAGGTGTCTGCCTCACCTTTGGACTTCTCACTTGCATGCTCCCACAGCCTTCTGTGTTCTCTCCTTTGCTTTCTCTGTGATACAATGGAATCTTCAGCATTAGGTGTTCTCTCCCTTCTTTTAGAGACCAGAGGTGCTTCCAAAGAGGCTGGAGGCAAGAAGGAAGCTGACTCCTTTATGGCCCAACAGAGTGATGGGCCTCCTTCTCTCTCCTCCTTCCTGGCACACTTGTCCATGCTTTTCTGCCTGCTCTAGGATGTGCCTGCTGTTGGGCTGAGGCTGGTGTCTTGTCCCCATCTCCTGTGGTAAGGAGGCCATGAACCTCCCCCGCCACATTACCCCAGCCCTTTCACTCCACACAGGTCCAGCTCTTGCTGGTGACACCTGAATCATCCAAGGCAGCTACAGGAAGGAAGGGCTGACACTCTCTGGGGTTTTGTTTCTTAGACCAGCAGTGGCGGTTTAGAGAAGACACCTGGCTGGCCAAGTTACAGAAGCAGCAGCAGCAGCAGCAAGAAGACGACCTTGGAGCAGAGAAAGAATCTGAGGTCTCAGTGGCACCTGATGCTCGGCTTCAGACATACTCTGAGGCTGTGCTGTGCCCACTGGTCCAAAACAAGAAGAATAGGCTGGTGCAGCTGCAGCTCCCACAGAGACGTGCCCCTCAGGCAGGAGAGCACAACATCCCAAGAAAAAAGGCCTCATTGCAGGTAGACGGATTCATCAAGAAGCAAAGGCTGCTGGAGGCCCAGGAGAGTCTGGAGCAGCTCAGGGAATTGTGCTGGCTTCAGGATGACAGTACCCACCAGTCCCCATGCTGGGTCCCTACCTCTGATTCCACAGCCCCAGAGCCTCCACCTAGAAACAGACGTACAAGTTGCAGTTCTCTGAGCTACCAAAGGCTCTTGCCCCCGCTGCACAGGTATAGTCAGTGGTTGTCACTGGAGTTTTATAACCTTGTTGTCCAGGCAGAGTTTTTTACTCTCCAGAGCCTCGGTTTCCTCAGGCTGTCAAATAGAAAAATATGTTTATTCCACTGTTTCTTAACACTTTTCTTCCCTTCTGGCTTCTTTTTTTTTTTTTTCCTCTGTTTATGTTTTCAGATTCTGGGTTTTCTTTTCACTTTCCGCCTGAGTAGCACCTCTTAACCTTCTGAGGAAAGCTTTCTGTGTCATTTTTCATCTGCTTTTTAGACCCTTTCCATCCATATACATTTCCTCATGTGCCCGAACCCCACTCCACCACCTCCTATATCAAAGCTGACTTCTTCCTGCCGTGCCGCCTCCCTCTTGTGCCCTCCCTGACCTGCCACCGCGAGTCAGCTTCCTCCCCTTTCTCCTGCTCACTGCAGAGCTGTCTTTTACTCCCAGGTTCATGTTGGGGTTTCCTCCTTTCTCTTCTCCTTCACTCCCCATCAGCAGGCAAGGTGAGGGTGTCCTCTATCCTAGACTGCTTGGAGCAGGGCTGGATCTTATTCTCCTTCAGATTGTCAGGTCCTTGACATAGCAGGCTCACAATCAGTGTGTGATGTTATGTTTTCTCACCTCTCTGGTCTTCAGGGTACTAGGCAAGCCTTTTCTTTTAACATTTTATTATGGAAAATTCTTAAACATACACAAAGAGAATACTGTATATATATATATATATCTATCATCCACATTCAGCCATTATCAAGATTGTCCACACTTAGTCTCCCCACTTTCCCATTTTCTGAAGTATTTTAAAGCAGCTCCTGGACATCATGTCATTTCAATCCTACATTTTTAAGTACGTACCTCTAAAAAAGACTGTCACCATGATGTCATTATTATAGCTACTAAAACTAAGATTAATTAATATAATTTAAAACCTAAGGGCTGGGGATTTAGCTCAGTGGTACAGTGCCTTCCTGGCAAGTGTGAGGTCCCGAGTTTGATTCCCAGTATCAAAAAAAAAACAAAACAAATAGGCATCTAAAACGTAAACCATGTTCATATTTCTCAAGTTGCCTCAAAACATCTACTTACATTTAGTTTTTTAAATTAATCCAAATTTCCACACTGCATGTGGCTTTTTATGATGTGGGGGATACTGGGGACTGAACCCAGAGCCTTCATACTGAGCTACATCTCCAGCCCTTTTATATTTTTTATTTTGAGACAGAGTCTTGCTAAGTCACTAAGTTTCTGAGGCTGGAGTCAAACTTGAGATCTCCAAATGTACCCACATTATGAATTTATCTGTTTGATTTCTTACAGTATTTAAATTGTTCTTATTTTCTTCATATTACCTAAAGGTATAATTAGATGGAATTCAACTTTTTTATATAAGTAAAAAAACTGAGGAACATAGTATATCTGGGACTTCACAGAGAACCAAGACTAGTCCAGTTTCCTTTTGTACTTAGCAAACTTTCCTCTGACCCTGAAAACAATAGGACAAGGTGACATTGGGCCTGATTTGTAACCTCTTTCAGAGCAAACGTTTTATTTTTTCAGTGAAAGTAGGGAACTGCTCCAAGCAGCTACTCAGTGGATTACTCTTTCTGAGATGATTTTCTTTGTCTCCACAGTGCTTTTCTGAATGGGGGTCACTCTACCATGCTACCACCTATGCCTGACCCTACTCACCAAGTGTCAGAGAAAATCCCGCTGGCAGACCATGTTTCCCCGGCAGCTGCTTGCCTTCCAAGGATGGGGTGCCTCTATAACAGTGATCTCTGTCCCTCAGGCCAGCCGCAGCTCTGCATGGCCAAGAAAGACACCTCAGCTCTAGGCACCTGTCTTACCCTGAGCCATAAGTCTGTCAACATCCAGGAAGTGGAGAGAATGGGTAAGCAGCTCTCTCAGATGGTGTCCCAGGGCTTGGCATCTCTGTGTCAGTCACCTGACAATCTAAAGTCAAGAGATGGACCAAAGACCCTCACCTCTGGTACCCAGGCCAGAAGAGCTAAGAGACTAGCAGACTCTGGCAACACACAAGCTGTCTCACAAAAAGGAAGGAACCTTGGGGCTCACAAGGCTGCTAGGGGAGCCAGTTATAGTTACTCTTATCCTGGTGGACCTAAGCAGGCAGCTGAGCTTGGAAGAGTGGCCAACACTTTTCGGACAGAATCCAAACTACCTTTTCCAGGCAGGGAATCAAAAAGGCTTCAGAGGGTGCTGGCAGCGAAGGTCAGAGACATTGCCAAAAAGTACTCTCCTTTACCTCATGGCCGTCCTTTGAAGGGACTGCACAGTGCAGGAGACCCAAACACCACAGCTTCACACACAGACTCCAGCCCAGTGATGGACTGTGCAAGAGGAGAAGATGATTTATCTGACACAGATAGCAGCTACTCAGTGGATTCTCTCTCCTGTGTCTATGCCAAAGCCTCACTGACAGAGCCACTGACACCAGAGGACCTTCCAGGCAAGTGGTATCTCCCAGCGTCAGAGAACTCTGAAAGTCACAACAGCCAAATATCTGAGGAGTTACTTGTTGAAAAGGGAGACCAGAGCTCAAAAGAAAGACTAGGGGGCAGTCATCCCCCCAACAAATGTAGTCACCTGAAGACCAGAACTAAAACGTGTATGAGGAACTTTCCCAGGCCTTTAGACAGTAGCCTGCTTGCTGAGAGCTTTTCCTTAGACAGCCTGATCGATGCTGAGGAAGAATTGGAAGAAGATCAGCAAGAGGAGCCTTGCCTTGGTTCAGCTGATGAGATGCCCACAGAGATATTTTGGCACCGGCAGAACTCCATTCTGCCTGTAGTGGACCAGGAGGCAATGTGCAGACCTGGGCCCATCAGCCACAGAGCAGGGACAGGGCTGAGTGCCATCCTGCCAGTGAGCAGTTCATTCTACCTTAATCCTCAGGTCCAGCCTGATAAGGAGCAGTCTGAGTCAGAGATGGAGGCCAGCTACCCAGAACGAGCCAGCTCTTTCCAAGGCATACAGCTTTCGAGAGAGAGCTCTCTGGTGTCCATGGATTCCTGGTTCTCCTGTGACTCTAAGATCAATCCTAGCAGCCCCGGAGGAGTACAGGATTCTTTACTTCTAAGTCCTGATGTCCAAGAAGTCCAGCCCTATGATGAAGAGAAACCTGGGTGCTTGCGGAGTATTAAAGAACTAAAGCCACCAGCTGCAGAAGCAGTTCTGCCAGATAGCTTGAAACTGCCCCAAGGCAATACTGAGTTAGCCTGCACCGCAAGAGATGTGCACACAACCTCTGCTTCTGATATTTCCAAGTTGTCACTTCGGGGAACTCAAAGGCTTCTTCAGCCGGGAGCTGATGACCTCTTTCAAGGGAGAGCCTCTGATACAACCCAACAGGGAAACTCTGAAGTTTCTAATTCTAGTGTATCGAGTGGGCCTGCTGCCTCTGCCACCTCATTCACTTATGTGGGCAGCACCCATGAAGAGGACTGGGCCACCCTTCAGCAAAAATTCATTCTTGAACTCTCTCACCCTGTTTCGGAGGCTATCAGAGAGCCCAGGCCACCCTTCCTCTACCTTGAGGAAGACTCTAGTTCTCTGGCTGAAAATTCTAGCAAAGGAGGAGATACTCAACAGCAGGTTGGTTCTGGAATCTCTAGCAGTCTGAATTTTAATGACTTTCCAGTCCATCTCTCCAAAACCAGCCATTTGAGAGCAGAGAAAGAGCAGGACAGTTTGAGTGCCACGTTGGAAAGTGCTTCAGATTTCTTAAGTACTAGTGAGAAAGAGGTAGGTTGTAATGGAGCGTATTCAGCTGACTTGGAATCACTGGCTTCTGGATTTACAAATATACAGGTTTGTGTCGCAGAGAACAAGATAACATATTCCTTAAAAGAAGCCTGTGAAGTCAGACAGAAGAGCTTGGAAGGGTGCTATCAGGATAGCAGAAAAACCGCAGTGATAACTTCCTCTGATACGTATGTATTCCAGAAGAATGCTTGTTGCAGAAATGTTTTGCAGGCCACCAATGCAGACCATTGGCCCCAAGGCCAGTCTCCTCTCAGGAAAAATAGTTCAGTTCAGCGAGGACAATTAAGTCACAACAACCACCACTTCCAACAGAAAAAGAAGGCAGATTACCAGGAGAGCTCTGAGGAAGTAGTTGGAAGACACACAGATGTTTCTTTTGCCAGTCTATCAGATCCAGAGCCACACGTCCGCTGTGCTCCCTGGAATCCTTTTTCATCCTCCCCACAGCCACCTATCTTGGAAACATTCTATGTGACCAAAAGCAGGGATGCCCTGACAGAAACTGCCTTAGAGATTCCAGCTCGCAGAGAAGTATGGGTGCCTTCCCCACCTCCCCGGGAGGCCTGGGGCTTTAGTCATGACCACCAAGTCCTACAGAAAACTTACCTGAACAGTTTGCCAGTGCTGTTACAAAACCGGAATTCCAAGGTTGCCTTTTCTCAACAGGTCACTGCAGAGAGGCCAGTTGATCTGAACACCAAAGAAGTTACTGGCAAGTTAGGGGAGTGTGCTGAAAATACTAAAGAGGGAAGCCATAATTCAGTTCATTTTCTTGTTGCTCAGAACAGACATATTTTCTCTTTTACTGGCACAGAAGTACCTGAGCATGAAAATGAATTTGGAATTTTAAATAAAAAGCACAGTCTTCCCGTACTTAATGAAAAAGAAAAGGCTCCTACACAGCCCTGTTGGGATGTTTTTTCAGACAGTTCTGGATCTGGGAAGCCTTTCCTTTTCATTTGTGAACCTGAGGCAGGTAGGAAAGAAGAGCAGGCTCAGATTCAGGCCCATGATATGAGCAGACAGATTCCTTTTGGACCTAGATCTGATTTCATCTGTAAAACTACTGATTTAGGCCTTGAGAAGGACATGCCAGGGGAAACAGCTGTTTTTATGAAGTCCGGATCAGTATGTCATGGAGTAAGCAGCCCCATGATTATAGCCCAGGATGAGAGTCCAACCCATAAGTGGGGAGAGAAGAGTGAAACCGGGCTCCTTGGAGGAACTGTCCATCCCACAGACAGCCCAGCAGAGCCTGAACTTTCAGAGATAGGGTCTACCTGTGAAAGTGCCCCGTCTGTTACATGCTATCAGGAAAGCTGCCCCATTAAATGTCAGGGCCCCAGAGGATCACAAGAAATGTTAAACTCCAAAGACGAATTTTTGGGAAAGAAACAGTATAAAGGAGTTAGTAATGCTGATGAAATGGCTAGGCTAATTAGGAGTGTCATGCAATTGGAAAATGGCATCTTAGAAATTGGATCCAAGCAGAATAAGCAGCTTCATGCTTCCCACACATCAGGAGTTAGTGAGGAGGTTGTGTCCCAGGACCAGAAGGACCAAGAGAGCTCCGACCATGTCCTGAGGCCAGGAAGCTCTGGAAACCATTTATCCTATAAGGATCAATCATCTTTTCCAAGACAAGCAGGTGATGTTGTCTTTGGGGATAGTGAAGCTGGGGAAATGGAGGCTAACAGAACCACTGGGAATGAGAACCAGGTCCAAAAAATCCCTCCAGGCCCCTCCAGGTCAAGGGAATGTGTACAACAGTGTCAGAGGGTGGTAGCGCATACCCGCCCAGCTGGAGCAGATAGCGCCTCCAGGGACACGTGTGATCTAGGGAAAGGCGCAGCTTGCAAAGAGCCCACCGACACTGCTCTTCACCAGAGGAGAATGAAAGCATTGTCTAGAGCTCCATCCTTGCATCCCTGGCCTGAGAGTTCAGGGAAGGAAGTCAGGTTGGTACAAGCATCAGCGAGCTTCGAAGAGCAGCCTTGGGGCTTGGGAAATCTTGAGGACCTGGAGACCATGGAAGTTTTTCAGGACAGCCAAGTTGCGGAGTGCATAAGTGATTCCAAGCCAGACGGGCTAAGAGCTCAAAGTGAAGTTGAAGAAATGGCCTTGCATTTGGGCAGGGGCCCAAAGGACAAAAGTAACATGGTCTCATTGACTCAGGAACATCCTGGCCCAAACCAGCATTGTACGTGCACGTGTTTCAGCCAGGAGACTGTCTCATTACCAAGCCACACAGACTTCTCCACAGCCCCTTCTAATCAAGACTGGAGCAATACCTTGCCCTTGCCTTCACCAAGGCTACCAGGAAGCTGTTTTCATGGCCCTGATATTATAGGCATTTCTTCAGTTGACCACGTGCTAGATCCTACAATATTGAAAATTCCTGACAGTCCCCTAGAACATGGAGTAGGATGTGACAGCCAGAGTAGAGAGAACAGAAGCCCCCATCTGCAGGGAGACATTAGAAGGGGCTCCTCCATGGCATACACAGCCTGGTGTGGGGATGTGAGGCCCATGGCCTTGGGATTGCATGGTCAGTCTGATGCAGCAGAGAATGTTCCCCTGGGGACAGAGGAGCAGATAACAGCAAGCACCAGCCAAGACCGAGGAGACCTCGAAATCACTTCCTTGGGTTTGACTGCTCAGGAAAGTTTTGGCAATGAAACTGAGGCAGCTGGACAAAAAGAAATACAAGCCACTTCCTCGAACATGACTTCTAGGGAACTTGAAAAGCAGGTCAGCCTCTCCTTAGAGGAGGGTAATGACCAAGGCAGAGGAGCAAAGTGCAAGACACAGGAGGAGGCCAAGGACCAGGGCCCTGTCAGCAGAACTTGCTCAGGATCTGTTTCCATGCCTAAGGTACCTGATCCAGAGCCCATACTGTTGGAGACATCTGTCCATGCATCCATTTGCCTGGCTATCTTGGAGGAGATCAGACAGGCAAACATCTGGAGAAAGTGGCCTAATGACTTTGGGACTGGGGGTACAGTCCTTACTGACTATGAACCTTCAGTAGAACCCGAACGTTCTTCAGGGGCTGCTGGCAGGACTCAGTGTGAGCAAATGGACCAGTTAATGCCAGGAAGGACCAGGAGTGAGGGTGAAGCCCCAGAATGCCATGTGGCGTCTGTCTTTGCTACACCGGGACATCTGTTGGCTGATGAGAGGAAAGCCCAAGCCATGCCTGTCTGTATAGATGGCTCTGGACCGCTGCCCAGCCCTGAAATGAACAGAGGGCTCCAGCTTCCTCCACAGTCTTCCTCTCATGCTGCACCTGCTCCAGGGAAAAGATGCTACCCTAGAGATCTGAGGCTTTTCCAGGAAGCAAAGGAAGGTTTTTCAGATCACTCTGGTTCTCCTGGAATCATAGCGAAGAAGAAGCAAGCATCCAGAACATTTTCCTCTGCTGGTCCTTTGATGTTAGACAGGCTTCTTCCTTCAGGAGCTGTGGAGGCCGACAGGATAGTGGGATCAGAGAAAGCAGTGTCTGCCTTATCTTCTTATGATGATCCTGGCCCCGTCCTTTGTGGGCAGAATCAGTTAGCCACACGGGACACTGTAGAGGGCATGTCTCCTGGCAGTCGCACTGGCAGCCCAGAGCACCGGGAGCCTGAGGCTGTAGATACCACATATGGAGCAGTCTCAGGTAACTTTTCAGTTACTGCACAGGGAGGAAAAACTGCTCACTTTGAAAGTCAGTCTGTGAGCTGTAGTGTTGGGAATTCTTCAAGCTCTTCAGCGACTAAGCAAGATCAAGTCCAATGCCATAAGGCTTCTACTGGCTTAGAAGAAGTGAGGGCCAGTCCAAAACAACAGGCTGCTCTGCCTGGAGCCCCGAGAAATGCTGAAGTGGAAGCGGGCGCACAGCAAGGGGTGAGGTGGGAGGAGAACGTTTGGGTTAGGCCAGCAGAAGCCTGCAGGACTGAGAACAAAAATCTGAGCCCAACTCCATCCCCAGACCCTAGGGGAGATGAGGCTCCATGTGGAGGTCTGGGGGAAACCGAAGATTGCATTGTGTTCTCTGGGAGCACAGAAGGCAGCAGTGCTCGCAGCACAGTGAGGGAGGCAAAAGAGAGCGGAACCATTCCTTGCCAACAATCGTGCTACCATCAGACCACCGCTACTCGCACCTGTCAAAGAGACGGTGACTGGCAGACAAATTCCCAGGCTGCCCCGTATCCTGTCTACCCACCTTTCATTGCACCTTCCAGGGCCCATGAAATGAGTGAGATAGGAAAGACCTCCTTCAAGGAAGCTGACATACTCTTGGCACATAGCTGTGGGACTCTTGGGCCAGCAGACGGCAGCATGGTTGAACCCCTGACTGCAGCTGCTATCCGATCACCCACTCAAGGGTGTAACTCCCTCGGCACTTCCTATGTGAGGACACATTCCCTGTCTGAGTCAGCTACTGACAGAAGCCTAAGGACTGTAGGGGGTCCTGAGGAAGAGGTTGCTAAGAAGAAAGCCAGCACGGAACTTGAGGCTGCCCCTTGCCCTGCAGGCACATGCTCTGAGCCGCTGAGGAACCTCAGGGATCATTCTGTAGGTGGACACAGTGCACAGGTGTCTCAGACCAAGCCAGAGCCACCTACAGAAACTCAGGGACCGCACACCCTGAGGCTAAGTGAAGGGTCTCTTGAGAGTGAACATGGGTGCTTAGAAAATACCAAACGCCTTTCAGAAAAGCCAAACCCTTCCACTGAGTGCAGGGATCCTCTAGCCAAGTGTGTAGCAAAACACATCTGTAGTCCTCAGGGTGATAGTCCTTGGGAAGACCAAGAACAGCAGAGAGACTCTGCTTCGGTAGGTGGTGAGGCCCTTCCCCAGGGCAGGAATCCTCCACTCGATGATCAGGGTGGCTTGAATGGCTATCACATCAGAGGTGCTGCAAGAGAAGAGGTGGCTGTGACCACGTTTCCTGTGTCCCAGTCTTTCTTACCAGGCTTTGGAGACCCGGCTTCTGTGCTGTTGGGGCACAGTGAAGTACCACAGCCTGTTGGCTGGAGGCCTGGCCGGCTTTACCCCAGTGAAGAGCAGCCGACTCCCCATCATGGGCCCTCGCTTCCCGTGATTACAGTCTTCTCTGGCTCTAAACACTGCATGCCCCATCCCAGACCTCAGTTCTCGGTGGTGAACTCTCAATCTCTTCAGGAGCTACACATGAGGGTGGAGCCTCCTCCCCCTCCAGATGAGGATGCACAGGGGCTTCACCGATTGTGGCACCCACACATCCGGGACTGTTCCTCAGGAAAGATGGTGACGGAAACACCTTTGAAGACTGAGGATTCCAATCCATCGGCCCCATCTAACTTGAGTGATGGCCCTGCTGAGCACATGCCACTGAAACATGCCACTCCTCCTTACCCAGTGTCTTCCACGGTGTCCTCCATGCCAACCTCTGATTTCATGAACAGTTGGGTGTCTAGTACTTTGGCTCTACAGAGAAAGCCAGAGAAACTAGGTGTCCAGGTTAGGTCAGAGGATGGACAGGTAGAGAAAGGAATGTTGTACTTGGGCTCCAAGGATATTAATCGGTACATCTCGCCATGGTGCCCTGAGGGGCCTGTGCACATTGGCTGGAAGCAATGTGTATTTGATAGGGCAGCTGATGTCTCCTGTAGCCTGAAAGCCCATGGTCCAAGGCCATCAAATGTAGCCCAGTGCTCCAGCATGGACAACGTCTTAGGAGACCAGAACCCCCCATTCTACTCCCACCTCAGCACTTATAGCCAAACTCAGGACCTGTCAAGCACACACAGCAGCACTGAGAATGTACAGGATTCCAACGAGGCCTGGAACATAAGGGATGCCTCATTTGCCTTGGGAGACATTCTGAGTGGTCCGGACAAGATAACCCAGTTAAAGGGTGCAACTAATGAAACAGGCTGTCTAAAGAGTGGGCTCCCTTTGGCTGAAGGAAGTTCTGTAGGTGCAGTGGATGAGGTGGTGCTGCTGTACCCGTCTGAGACTGGCAGCCCTGTGGCACAGGCCAAGGTGAACACCTACGAGCAGGGCACACAGACCCTGGGCTGCCAGCTGCCCCAGAGCTGTGTTGATGTCTTACCTGCTCAGCCTGACACCAGTGAGGTATCACCCTGTGACCTGGCCTCCTGGGCCAGCATGCACAACCTGTCTCTCCACCTTTCACAGCTCCTGCAGAGCACCTCAGAGCTGCTTGGAAGTCTCTCCCAGCCAAGTGTGGCCAAGGAGCACAACACCAAGAGGGACCCCATAGCTGAGGCCCTGCAGGCCCTCAGGACTGACCGTGCGACTCAGACCAGTGTGGAGAAGGACAGCCAGGCTGAGCTGGCCTCACCCTCTTTGCACCCCCAGGCCCCAGAGGCCAAAACTCAGGAAGTCAGTGTAATCGTTGAAGTGCTGAGCTCAGATACCGCATCTGTGTCACAAGAAAAGGGAGATGTCACAGGAGCCCTTGAGAGTGACACGGAGGAGATGGCACGGAAAGCCACTGTGCCTTCAGATCTTCTTGAAGAAAGTACCCCCTGTGCACTGGGAAGCCCTCCAGTGCCTTCACCCCACCTGAGGTTTCAGAGAGCCCCTCAGGAGCAGAAGCCTTCTCTGAGCCCCCCAGCTTCTCTTGATGCCTCCCAGCCCGGGGACTCCTGTTGTGTGGTTGTCCACAGCCCCGGCCTCAGCACCTCTCGTACCCCAGGGCCCTCCCCCAGTGCCTCAGAGCCCACCCGAGAGCCTCAGGTCCAGAGGAAGCCAGGCCCCATGAGTGCCTGTTTGGTGGACAGAGCTTCCTCCCCAATCCTCACACTTAGTGCCAGCACCCAAGAGCCGGGTCCTACCCCAGGCATTTTGACTCTCTCAGCTCCCTCAGCCTGCCCTCCAGAGGGTCACCAGAAGCTTGACTTCAGCCTAAGACCTCCAGCGGACAGTTGTTCTCAAATCACTCATGAGCCGGGCGGCTCCCAGACCTTGAAGGCTCTGGATGGAAAAGGCAGTAGTGGGAAGTCAGTCCTGGAGTTAAGTTGCCCGTGTAGCCCACCACAGAGCCTGAGTGTCCAGGTTAGCTTCTTGGGGCAACCTGTTCAGCAGCCTGAGCCCAGGACCATCACTGGAGGCCAAAGCAGCCCACCAGTTCCACCCTCAAGGTACTGGAGCCAGAGGCTGACTGACAGCTTTCTGTCTGAAGAGGCGGCTTCCCCAGAGCAGGGCCCACTGAGCAGTCAGTGGCAGAGCAGGCCTGAAAATTGGGGTGAGTGTTCAGCACCTCCGGTGGAGCCGCAACTCGCTGCGAATCCCTCCTCATGGAAGGGCTCCCAGCACCTTGGCCCCAGCCCTGGTGCTGAGCTGACTGACCCTGCAGGGATGCGAGGTTGCACTGCTGGATTACCTCAGGTCTGCCAACTTGAGGAAATGTGTCCCAGTTCCCAGATTTGTGTGGCCCCCGAACCCCAGCATTGCAGCCTAAGGGAGCTCCCGGTGCATAACAAATTTAGTAACTGGTATAGGGTTCAGCATGGCTCTTCTAGGGGGCTGGGTGTGAGTAAGGAGCTGGAGGTCAGCTCTGATCTCTGCTCTGGCGAGCAGAAGCAGATGCTCCCACAACCTGGTGACCGGAGCGTGCATCCTGAGTGGTCCCCAAGGGAGCAGGTCTCCCTGCAGGTTGGGGCCCAGAGTACCCCACTCAGTATAGAACTCACAGAAGCAAAACTGCACCGTGGCTTCGGGGAGGCAGATGCGCTGCTGCAGGTGCTGCAGCGAGGGACAGGGGCGGCACTTGCTCCAGATGAGGCTGTGGTGTCCACCTGGGAGGAGCACCATGCACGGTAAGGCCCCCTGCTGGGAGGGGAGGGGAGGGGGAAGAGAACTTAGGGAAGCTGACAGTGGCTCTTCTGCCCTGGCCCATCTCTGGCATCTTCCAGGGGTTGAGGGTAGAACATCAGGTGAGGGCACTCAGGGCCAGGTCGGTGAGTCAGTCATGTTTTGTCTCAGACAAAAACAAGTCATTGAGACTCTCAAGAGAGAGCAGGCTGAGCGACTTCACACCTTCCGCCGGACACGAAGCCTGAGTCCCCAGAAACAACTGAGCCTCCTGCCTAACAGGGCTTTCCCCTCCTGGGACCTGGACTTGCCCAGCAAGCGCCGAGAATACTTGCAGCAACTGAGGAAGGATGTTGTAGAGACCACCAGGTAACGGGGCCCAGAACCTGCAGAAAGGGTCTCTGGTAGAGGGGGAGCTGCGGGGAACTGGGGATGGAGTTGGTATCCAGACAGTGGAGGTGGATGTGGCAGACTGGGGCAGAGAGAATCGGATGCTGGAGGACTGGAGTGGGGAGTTACGGGAAAGGGTAGATGGGGTGGGGCGGATGAGCTCTTTAAGAAGGAGGTGGGGGTGGCCTGTGAGGCAGGCAGGGCTGACTCCATCCGCCATGTTGGAAGCTATCCTTTCACCCTGTGATTTCCACAGAAGCCCAGAGTCAGCACTGAGTTCCGCCCACCCACCCACTGACATGGAGCAGATGCTGCGTAACTATCAGCAAGCCCGTGAGGAGGCCAAGGTAGAGATTGCCCGGGCACGGAAGCGGCTGCGGGAGCGGACTACACAGGAGAAGCTTCGAATCCGCCAGCAGATCATCTCCCAGCTGCTGAGGGTGAGGAGTAGGGTGAGCCTCGACTTCAGGATAGGCCTGGAGTCAGGGCAGACAGTCTGAGGCCGTGTCACCATGGCTGCTCAGCCTGGGGCTGTGCCCCTCTGAGGAGGGCATGGCAGCCCTACTCGGGCTGGGCCTACTGTTCCTCTACAGACCAGCTACAACCCCAGGCCCGGCTCTGTGAGCAAGAGTGTACGGTGTATAGTGAGGGGCGTGGGGCGTGGGAGGTGGGAGGTGGAGTAGGGACTCCTGGGTGCACTAGAAGCTGGCTGATGATGACCTGTCCTTCCCAGGAAGAGGAAAAACTACACGCCCTGGCCAGCTCCAGCTCCCTGTGCACCAGCTCCAATGGCAGCCTCTCCTCTGGCGTCACCTCTGGTTACAATAGCAGCCCGGCCTTGGCAGGCCAGCTCCCATCCCCAGAGAGTGTGGTGAGTGGGCAGACGTGAACAAGACAGGGACCAGGACTGCTGAGACAGGAGACTTGGCGGGACCCGTGCCTCCTGGGGCCAGTGCTGACAGGAGCCTGTCTCATGGCCTCACTGTTAGTTTTGCCTCCCTCTCTGTTTATCCATTCTTTCAAGTGTTTATTTTGTAGGCACAGTTTTAGGGTCCGGAAGTGACTATTAGGTAAATATTAACCAGTTTATTTTATGATTGTTTCAATAAATTATTTGGAGAATAATGGGGCATGAAACCTGCATAAACAGGGCGGGATGTCCTGTGGGGTCAGTAGAATCTCTGGAGAGAAAGTGATTACACCGAGACTGGAAGCAGGAGAGGAAAGATGGCTCTACGAGAAGGGGACAGTGAAGAATGAAATGAAGCCAGTGAGGCAGGGATGTAGAGGGTGAGGTGGGCGAAGGGCATGGGAAAGGACTTGCTCTAATGACGTCACTTCCCAGAAAGGACCAAAAGCTGCTGAAAGTGATAGCTTCTAAGAAGGGAAATAGGAGATTGCATAGCAGGAGGCGGCGGCAGGATGACATAGAAAGGAGGAGTGAGAGATGGCGACTGCTTCGCTTAAGGGCGTTGCCAGTGAAGGTGAACAGAAGTGGATGTAACGCAGGAGAGGAAATAAAGGACTTGGCGACTGTGAGATGTTAGAGGAAGGGGAAAGGAGAGTTGAGAACAGAGACACTTTTTTTTTGTCTTTTTGAGACAGGGTCTCGCTATGCAGTTCAGGCTGGCCTTGAGCTCACTTTGTAGCCCAGGCTGGCCTCGAACGCACAACGATCCTCCTGCCTCAGCCTCCCAAATGTGGGCATGTGCCACCACGCCTGGCTGAGAACAGAGACACTTCTGATTTGAGCAGCTGAAGGGATGGTGGTCAGTGAGGACAGACACAGGAGGACATCTAGGGAAAGATCAAGATTTCCACTTTCCTATGTTGAAGGTGCCTGTAAGAAATCCAGATGTAGCAGGTAGAATCAAGTAGGCAGTTGGAAAGACAGATCTAGATCACCAAGGTAAGATCTGGCTGGGAGCCAGGTATGGTGGCACATTCCTATAACCTAGCACTCTAGGAGGCTGAGGCAGGAGGGTCACACCCCAGACAGTTCAGTTTATTTAGTTGCACTGTTGTGGCTGCCTTGATATCCTGAATTGATTTAAAATGTTAATCTTTCCTAGTCATTTTGACTTTGGGAAAGAGCCGAGGTCACACAGTGACACATCTGGTGAACAAAGTGGATGAGGACACACTGGTATTTTTACAAGCCTGCCTTCCTGTTGGATGGCACTTAGCACCAGCATTCACTGTAGTTTTTATCACATGCCATAATGACTCAGGATAGAGGATTTCCAGAACTGCTTCAGAAAGTGTCAAGAGTGAGGGATGAGTGTGTTTAAAATGAAGAGTAATGTATTTTGAGGGGGATTAATGAGAATGTTTCTTTTTCTGTAATTTTTTTATTTAAACACACAGGGTAGTTTTTAATCAGCCCTTGTACACAACTTTATTAAGTTGGCCAAAATTAGCCAGATGATGCCAGATATTGGCAGGACTTTCGGGATATAGGAGCTATGCTTGCATAGGTTATAAGGGAAAATGTATAGAATTATTTATTAAAAACATTTTTTAAAGTGGATTCTGGGGACTATAACTTAATGGAGTCGTGTATTGATTTCATTGTTCTGATTGTTCCAGTTTTACTCATTTGAGCTGTGATCATCTTGAGTCCTGAGTCCTGTTGACATGCTCCATCTGTTTAAAATGAATTCTTCCTCACTTTAACGGCCATAGTTTCATTGTTATTGTAATTCATTGGCCTTTAGTGTATGTTCATAGAGTTGTGCTTTCAGTACCACAGTCAGTTTAAAAACATTTTTGTTCACCCTCTCAAAAAAAAAAACAAATTCTACACGATTACTTATTTCTCCCCAAACTTACCATCTCTCAGCCCTAGGCAGCCACTAATTTCTTTTCTGTCTCTATGGATTTGCCTTTTCTCAGCATTTTTCTATATATGGAATCGCATAATATGTGGTCCTGTTCATCCTGCTTCTCTCTCTTAGAATAATGTTTCTGGGGTAATATCAGTTTCCTAGGATCACTGTCACAAATAGTCACACACAGGGTGGTTTACAACAGCAGAAATGTATTCCCCCATAGTTCTGGAAGCCACAGATCTGAAATCCTGCTGTTAGCAGTGCCACACTCCCTCGGAAAGCTGCAGCATGTGGGAGTCTATCCCTGCCTTTGTCCATGCGCCTGGTGGCTGTTGCAGTCCTTGGCATTCTTAAACTTGCAGCCGTGTCACTCCAGTGTCTGCGTCTGTCTTCACATGGCTCTCTCAGCGTCATCAGTCATCAGATGTGAGGCTCTGATAAAATAATCCGTTTATTGGAAATGATAATTCAGCCTATAGGGATTCATATTCTTGACACTTTCAACTTCATTCCTTTTAATGGCCAAATAATATTCCATTGTAGAGTGAGCATGGTGGTGCATGCCTATAATCCCAGCAGTCTGGGAGACTGAGGCAGGAGGATCACAAATTCAAACCCAGCCTGGTCAGTCTAGCAATTTAATGAGACCCTGCCTCAAAGTAAAACATAAAAAGGGATGTAACTCTGTGTGAAAGCCCTGCTTTCAATCTCAACCACCCTCCAACGAAAGAATCTAATTTATGAGTAGACCACCTTTTATTTATCTGTTCAATAGCTGATGGATATAGAAGTTGTGTCTCTTTTGCCTCTTGCTAATAATGCTGCCATGCATACTTATTTACTAGTTTTTAAAAAGATCTAATGCCTTCTTACAGTAAACCAAAATGTGCTTTAGAAATAAAGCTAATTTAGAGGCTGCACAGGTTTTTTTGTGTCAACATGTTTTAATTTCTCTTGGGTATATACCTAGGATTGAATTTTGGGGTCATAGAGGAAAAGCCAGACTGTTTTTCAAAGGGGATACATTATATATATTCCCACCAGCAGTATAATGCCAGATCCTTACCAGCACTTGCTGTTACTGTCCATCCTCTGTATCCATAGGTTCCACATCTTCAGATTTAATCAACTGTCCATCAAAAATATCTAAAATGTTACATTGTTGCTGATGTATACTATGTAGTTAGATCTAAGATGGCTGCATCTGTATAGAGGCTACAGGCCTTTTCTTGTTATTATTCCCAAACAATACAGCATAGCAGCTATTTATATCTTATCTGACTTTACTCTTTGCTAAGGCAAAATAAGTTAAAGGAGGAAGGGTTTACTTAAGCTTACAGTTCGTAGAGGTTTCAGTCCATACTCAGCTGGCTCTAAGGCAGGCGGCATGGCAGAGAGGCATCGCTGAGGAGAAACAGTCCATCCTGTGGCAGGCAGAAGGCAGCGAGCACCCAGCCTGCCTTCTTACTGTCCCTTTATATTCCTTCCAGGCTACAAGCCTGTTGATTGGTGCTACACACACCTAGGCTGGGGCTCCCGTCATCTACCCCAGAACAGTGCTAAACCAATCAGAAGACTGACCCAATTATCACACTCTTTTTGTTTGTTTTTTTTTCTGGTACTAGGAATCGAAGGCGCTGTGCTGCTGAGCTAAATCTCCAGCCCCATTTATCATACTCTTAATCCACATCCACACACCTTAAATACAGCCACCCCCCAAAAGCCACACCTATGAGCACATGGGGCTTTGGGGGGATATCTAGATACAAACCATAACACATAGTGTTTTCATGTACAGAATTAGATATTATACATAATCTAGGGATTACTTAGAGGTTATAGGAGGATGTAGGATATGGAAAACACTATGCCATTTTATTTAAGAGATTTGAATAGCTCAGATTTTGGTGTCCTGAGGAGCCAGTTGTGAGCGGGCACTGAGGGCGGGCTATGTTTGGTTATTGCAGTCTGGGTAGATGTGATGTGCTGCCTTACTTGATGGCTAAATAGTATTGAACATCTTTTCATATACAGTTTTGTATCTTTCCAGATCTTTTGCTCATTTTTAAAATTGGATTTTGGTCTTTTTATTATTAATAGGTTTTTTTTCATTTTGTTTTTTAGACAGAGTCCTGCTGTGTAGCTCAGGCTGGCCTTGAACTCACTGTGTAGCCCAGGCTGGCCTCAATCTCACGGTGACTCTCCTGCCTCAGCCTTCTGACTGCTGGGCTTACAGGTGTGCACCACTATGCCTGGCAATAGTTTTTTATATATTCTAATACAAAACCTGATCAGAAGTATGATTTCTAAAAACTTTCTCCCATTTTGTGTTGTCTTTTCAGTATGCTCTTTGATGCACAAATGTTTAAAATTTATAAAATTTTGATAATGTCATTTGTTTTCTTTTCGTGTGTGTCATATTTAAGAAACGAATGCCTAGTCCAAGGTCACAACAATCACATATCTTTTCTTCTGTGATTAGCCAGTAAGAGTTTTACATTTGTAGCTCCTACATCTAGATCTTTGAATTGTTTTGTGTTAATTTCTTACGTTAAGAGATAGAAGGTTGAAGTTGAATGTGGATGTCCAGTTCTCATCACCATTTGTCAGAAAACCTGCTTTTCCCCCATTGAATTGTCTCAGCATCCTTGTGGAACATCAGTAGATTAGAGATATATGGGTTTATTTTTGGACTTCGTATTCCATTGATCTGTATCTTTGCCCACTTTTTGGGTGCTAGGGATTGAAGGCAGGGCTTCACACATACTAAGCACTTGATACTCTACCACTGAGCTGCGTGTTCTTATGCCAGGACCACGATGCCTTGATTTCTGTAGCTTTTGAGGTCAGCTGTAGATTGTGACATCAGAAAGCATGTGTCCTTCAACTTTGTGTCTTTTTCAAGATGACTTTACCTGAAAGAAACAAACAAACAAACAAACAAAACAAAAAAGATGACTTTACCTGTTCTGAGTCTCTTAAATTCCTGTATGAATTTTACAGTCAGCTTGTTACTTTTTGCAAAGAAGTCACCTGGGGTTTTGATTGGGATTTCACTGAATTTTCCATCAAGGTGGAAAGGAGTGTTGCATCTTAACAAGTTAACACTTTAGTTCCAACTCTTATTTATTTAGGTTTTATTTTATTCCAACTTTTTTTTTTTTCAGCCAGGGTCTTGCTATGTAGTCTAGGCTGGCCTCAAACTCACTATGTAGCCCAGGCTGGCCGCAATGACGATTCTCCTGCCTCAGCCTCCTGAGTGCTAGAATTATAGGTATGCGCCATCATGCCCAGCTCAACGGTGTTTTAAAGTTTGCAGAACAGCATACAGCTTTCACTTGTTAAATTTGTTCTTAAGTACTTTGTTCCTTTTGGTTCTATTATAAGTGGAATTGTTTTAACTTCATTTTTGGTTTATAACTGATTTGTGTATATGGATCTTGTTTTGTATTCCTCCGCTGAACACTCTTATAGTACTTTAGGAAATTCCTTGGGATATTCTGTATACAGAATCTTATCATCTGCCTTTTTTGTTATTTCCTTACCTAACTGCGTTGCCTACCTTTCCTAGAATCCCTGACACAGTGTATAGAAGTGGTAAGAGCAGACATCTTTTCTGTTCCTGATTTGAGGAGGAAAGCGTGTAGTCTTGTACTGTTAAGCAGGATGTTAGCTGTGAGTTTTCTGTAGCTGACCGTTATCGAGCTGGGGAAATTTCCTTTTTCCCCCTCATTTGTTGAGTGTGTTTTTTAACTGGAAAGGAGTATTGAATTTACTCTTTTCTGTCTATTGAGATGATCATGTGGGGTTTTTCCCTTATTAATATGGTAGTTCATTGATTTTTATGTGTTGAACCAACTTGACATTCCTGGAATAAATCCCATTTGGTTATGATTTGTAACCTTCTTGACATATTGCTAGATTGAGTTCACTAGTATTTTGTTGAGGAAGTTTTTAGTATATTGCTAAAGATATTGGTCAGTAATTTATAATCTCTGCCTGGTAATTTTGCCTTTGTAGAATGAATTGGCAAGTGTTCTGGTTTTTAGAAGAATTACTATTAATGCTTAATTAGTTTGGCAGATTTTGCTATCTTGTCTTGAGTTTTTCTTGGTGGGAATTTTTTTATTACTAATTTGGTAACTTGTTAAATGTCTGTTCAGATTTTCTGTTTCTTTTTGTGTCAGTGTCAGTAGTGTATGTCATTCTAGAAATTTGCCCATTTCATCTAAGTTATCTAATCTGTTGGTATACAGTTGTTCATAGAATTAATTCATTTTTATTTCTTTTCATTGATCTATTTAAAGCTAAAATTTTTCTTTTTTTTTTTTTTTTTTTTTTTTTTTTTTTTTTTTTTTTTTTTTTTTTTTTGTTTCGGGTTAAAATTACGGCCTTGCCCTTGCTGGGCAGGTGCTGTGCCACTGAGCTAAATCCCCAGCCTCTGCTGGTTTGTTTTTAATAATACGAATTATTTTTATATTTTTAGTAGTGCTGAGGATTGAACTCAGAACCTTTGCACTGAGCTACGTCCCAAGCACTCCACCTTGATTTGTTTTGTTTTGAGACAGGCTCTCCGTAAGCCATTGTGTTGCTAAAGTTGGGCTCAAACTTGTAATCATCCTGCACGTACCACCATGCCAGCTTAAAAGATTTTATTTTAAATATATATTATTATAATATTTAACATAGCAGGGTGTTTATTTGTTGTAACCCCCCCACTTTGCCTTTGTTATATTCTTTTACAGTGTTACAATTCCCCCACCCTCGACATACCTTTGATTCACAAAGCATGAAAGATTTATTTTGGCATGATTTCTGGAGGGTGTCTGGTGTGGTCTGTTTTTGAGATGGCTACCCAGTTGTCTTAGCAATATGTATTAATTAATCCATGATTGTACTTGGAAGGCATCAGGGTAGCACTGGGAACAGATGAGATCAACTAGGAACAAACTACAGAGTAAGATAAGAAGTAGGGCCTTGGCCTGAATCTGAAAGAATTACAGAATATTAGTATGTGGTTGACCGATCAACAAAAGAAATAGGAGGGATTTGGGGGTGGGACTCCTGGGCAGGCTTCACTCGGAGGGAGGGAGGGAGGGAGGGCTGAGAGCCTGGAAGGTGACTGTTGCTTGGAGCAGAGAGGAGGGCAGATTCTGGAGAGCATGTGGTGGAAGGGAGCAGAGCATTTCAGGAAGTGCATGTGTGAAGACAGGGAGGTGTTTGTGCTCCTAACAGGAAGTCTCCCACGAGGAGAGGTAGGCAAGGCAGGTGGAGAGGTCAGTAATTCCAGGCTTCTGAGAGGGTGCTAAGAAATCAGACGTAAGGCAGGTTGAGCTGCCCTCTGCTGCAGCAGGTGGTGGAGTGAGGTGAGGAAGCAGGGCGTCTTTGCTCACCATTCTTGGCTCCATAGAGTGCTGGGTTAAGTGGGGATGATAAAGATCATATGTCAACCACTAACATAAAATAAAACGGGCTTTTGTACTTGCAAAAAAAAAAAAAAAATCATATGGTGACTGCCTGTTGGGGCCAGCGGAGGTCAGGGCTATGTCGTAGACCCAAAGGGTCAGCCTCATCTGGTTCCACATTAGGACTTTGGCCTAGCAGCTGCTCCTGGAGGCAGGGATCAGGGGTTCAGCTTTGCAGGGCACAGTGTTTTTCCTCTCGGACACACCTTCCACTTCGGCTTTATGATCCACACCAGCCTCCCACCCCAAAGCTATGACCTTATTCCTGTTGCCAGGGCGGTACAGAGAGCCTCCCACTGCCATCCACAAGGTTGCCTTTCAGTTGTTCTGATTCCTGTGGGAATTCTGAAAACTGGCCTGGAGGGCAAGATGTTGCAGGACTGATTTCTCTTGTTTGTGACTTCTTGGGGGCATTCCACCTCTTGGAATCCCAGCCAGGAGGCTCTGTAAACAGAGGCATGACAGGGAAGCAGTGAGATCATTCTGTACCTCCTTGCCGGCTCTCTGGCCCTGAATGTTCTCTGTTCCACAGAGGAACTTGAACTTGGGTGATTCTGGAGACACCTGGATGGGGGATGGGCGGAGCTGGACTTCAACGAGGAACAGTAACCTGTATCTGGCTGGATCTGCCCCGAAGAGCACAGACTGCAGTAAGTGCTGGGCAGGTGGGATATAGATCCTGGTTTGGGGACTCTGGTGAGTCACTGGCCTGAGGGTATCTGCGCTTATGTCAGTGTCCCTGCTGAGAGCTGTCACTGGCCTGAGGTTCTGCGTTCAGTGCGGTCTCAGAGCCTCCACCTGTTTCTCACAGGCCACAGAGGCTTCCTGGGCAGTTGCTGCTGCGCCCCATCCAGCCTGTCTAGCTTGGGGACCTGCTTCTCCTCCTCCTACCAGGATTTGGCCCAGCACATCGTGGACACTTCCATGGCTGATGTAACTGCCGCACTCATCCCCACCACTGCTGTAGCCAGACCACTGCTGGGGCGGAGGCAGAGGGAGCTGCGAAGGTCAGGGCCACCACAGCTGTGGCCCTCATCAGTGGCCCTCTGTCTTGAGAGGCAGGCATTCACCGACCTAGGGGCCTGGTGTGTACTCTGCTGACTAATTTAATATGGCAACTGTGTCCCCAGGTAATGGCTGCATGTTCAGATAATCTGCACAACCTCTTCAGCCGCCAGGCAACAGCTGGCTGGAAGTAAGTCCCTTTGCAGCGTCCCAGCACTGCCCTTGTCTTGCTTGGCTTTTCTGCCTGGCTCCCCAGAATCCATGCCCTGAACTACTCCTTTCTGCTTTGGAATCTTGTTTTGTTTTGTTTTCCTGGTACTGGAACCCAGAATTGTCACCCTGGACTACATTTCCACCCCTTTTTTAAAATTTTAGATAAGGTCTCAGTCACTAAATAACTGGGCTGGGCTCCAACTTGTAATCCTTCTGCCTCAGCCTATCCAAGTGCTGGAATTAGACGTGCACCACCATGCTTAGCTGGAACCCATTGTTTTATATTTTATCGTTTCCTCTTTCTGATCCTTGGTGTCCTCCAGCTATCAAGGTGAGGAGCAGGAGGTACAGCTTTACTACAAGGAATTTTCTTCTACTCGGCACGGCTTCTTGGGGGCAGGTGTGGTGGCCCAGCCACTGTCTCATGTGTGGGCAGCTGTGAGTGACCCAACCCTGTGGCCCCTGTATCACAAGCCCATCCAGACAGCAAGGCTGCACCAGCGGGTGACCAACAGCATCAGCCTGGGTGAGTCCAGAGGAGGGAGGCTTCTGGGGGCCAAGTTTCTGACATGTGCAGTGGACTGTCCAGGGATGGAGGTAGAGGTTTGGAGGCAGCCCTGTTGGGAGGCCCGCTCCTCAGCCACCCCAGAGTGCTTGGCCTAGCTTTCCTTGGGTATCAGTCAGGGAACAAAGGGGGTCGCAGGTGCAAAGGACTTAGAAGGTCTGCCCACAGCCCCTGACTGCCTTGCCCTGCCTCTCCAGTGTACCTGGTGTGCAGTGCCTCCCTGTGTGCGCTGAAGCAGCCACGGGATTTCTGTTGTGTCTGCGTAGAAGCCAAAGAGGTGCCTCCCTCGCTGGTGGTAAAGATGTCATGGGAAGAATGTGGGCTGGAGCACTGTGAGAAATGGCGTGGGCATTGGGTCCTCCATGGGAAGGAGAGCACTGGGGATGGGGCCAGGGCAGGGGCAGCCTGAAGGCTGGCCCAGTGTTGCCTTCCACCATGCCGACTATATGGAGCTTCTCCCTTGACTCATGTCTCTGTCCCCAGGGGCACCTGTGTGTCCTGGCAGCTCAGTCTGTATATGACACATCCATGCCAAGACCCAGGAGAGAAATGGTCCGAGGGGAGATTCTGCCTAGTGCCTGGATCCTGCAGCCTGTCACCGTGGAAGGGAAGGAAATTACCAGAGTCATCTACTTGGCCCAGGTGATACTGGCTTCACAGCACATGTTGTGATATCTCTGTCCTCCGAGCAACACCCTTCAGCAGCCAGGCCGTTTGCCTGATAGCTGGAGACTCGAGGCTTTCGGGGCTTGCAATGGGGAGTCAGAGGTGGGGGAATGAGAGCCTTTCTGAAGTTGCTTGTACCTTCTGAAGTTGTATCCTGTGGCTGACCCTCGGGTCCTTAGACTGTAGCTGAATCATTGCAAGGTAAGGCATCTGCCTCTAAGCAGGGTGCAGTGGTGCACACCTGTAATCACAGCACTCAGGAAGTTGAGGCAGGAGGATCTCAAGTTCAAGGCCAACCTGGGCTACGTAGTAAGTTAAGGCCAGCCTGGGCAACTTAGTGAGATCCTGTTTTAAGCCCTTTCTCCCCAAATAGAAGCCTTGGCAGAGCAGAATCATTTGATTTGGCTTTCTGTTTTCAGTCCCATGACTCAAACTCTGTCAGTAGGAGGTGAGAGCTAATGCTGAGGTCTCAGCCGTGGAGCCCAGGGGTTTGTAGACAGGGGCTGTAGGGCCTGGTATACCTCCCATTGCCACATGCAGGGTGGCTGTTGGGATGGGAAGGCCCTGGCACCTTCAGGTCTGTTTTCACCTCTAACTCTTCCTTCTCACTTTCAGGTAGAACTGGGTGCTCCAGGCTTCCCTCCTCATGTCCTGAGTTCCTTTATCAAACAGCAGCCCCTGATCGTGGCCAGACTGGCTTCCTTCCTTGGTAGCTAACATTGCCTTGGCAAGATGATGGTGCTGCTAAGCTGATGCCATGGCCCTGAGGTGAGAAGAGCCGAGGCTACCTCTGGTGGCCAGCTTCGCAGATGGCGCTAGCCCAGGGTTGCCAGCAAAGCCAGTAGTCCTTGGTAACCTCTGGCAGCTCTGCACTGAGCAATTTGGGGTCCTGGCCCTAGCTGTCCAGAGAATGAAACTCAACTCACCTTTTGGATTTCTCACCTTCATTTTGCATTTCTGGGACTCGGCTATCAGAGTTGGGGAACTCTGGTGAGGCGCCTCCTTAATCCTGCCCCGGCCTCTGGGAGAGCTGGCAGGAAGCAAGCGGCCACCGACCGGGACTCCACTCTCCTGCCTTCTGGCAGGCACCTTGCCCCTGTGGTGCTTAGGACCAAAGCAGAAAGTTTTTTTAAAAACATCTGCCCAAACCAGACTGCTGACTCAGAATCTTTTTCTCCCTGGTCAATTTTTGCAAAATGCTTTCCTATTCATTTTGCCTTTTCTCCCCTTTCCTGACATGTGGGTCTTTGCGCCAGCGCCAGGAGGCATTGGGGTAGAAATGGATGAATCTGGGGTAGGGCTCAGGGCTGCCTCTTTGAGGAGTAGAGGTGGCTGCTGGCAAGAGGAACTTCAGACTAAAAACTGAACTCTGAAGATGGGAAAGGAGGTGAGAACGGGCAGCGGAGATTAAGGAATGGTCAGGAGGGAGCTGCTCTGGCCCCACCGTGCTAAGTTCGTGCCGATTCCGTTTCCCAGGAAGTGGCGATGGGGAGGCTCCCTCCTGCAGTTCAGTGGCCTGGGTCTCTGGTGGTAGAGGGTAGTCATGTGAGGACTGAGCAGCTGTGGGCAAGAGGCAAAGATTTTCTGTGCAGCACGGCAAGGGTTTCTGCTTCTGAGAACGTCTGCAGGGCTTTCTTTTTCTCTTACCTCAGATTGTTATTTATATATTATTGAAGTTTTAAAAACTTGCTTTCAGACTTTTATTTTTCTGCTTAAGGTTTTTGTAACACCTGATAAATTAATGCCCTATTTATGTATTCCCATCTCTTCATACATAAATCTTTTTATGAAGACTTGACCAGAAAGGTCAGGATATGTGTAAACCCGAAGTCCCGTGTGTACTTGTATTCAGGGAATGAGGTCTTTTGTGTTTGTCATTTGAGCCTGGCAGGATACGGCCTGCTCCAAGGCCCACACTCAGACTGTGCAGTTTACTGCTGCCCCTGCGTCCACAGCTACTTAGCAGTCACCAGCAACCACCAAGTGAAAAGGTGAGCAGACATCCTAGAGCTAGAGGAGGGCCGGTATAGGGATCCTGGTGAAAGGGACAGCCGTGCAGTGACATTGTTTCCCTTACATACCAGCCCCAAGTCAGCAGTGTAAGTAGTCAGCCCTCATCTGTGTTCCACATCTGTGCCCCCAACCAACACAGATCCAAAATACTGGGGGAAAACATTGCTTCTTGTCATTATTTTTCAGACAATACAGGATAACAACTATTTATATTCAGCTTACCCTTGTAGTAGGTACTATCTAGAAATGACTCAGATACACAGTACAGGAAGAAAAAAACATGAAAGTGTAGACGATGATGATATTGTACCATTTTATGCAGGGCCTAAGCATCATGGAACCAGCCCCCAGAGATACTGAAGGCTGACTATACTGAGGCTTATTTTGTAGCAAATCACAAGTGACCATTCAGCTAAATGCAAAGTCAGATTTTGATTTAGATGACTGGTTCTCAAACTTTGACATTCAACAGAATCACCTGAAGGCCTTCGTACACTCAGGCTGGGCCTGACCCGCTCCTCAGTAAGATGGGGAGAGGCTGTGGCATCTGTATCTCTAGGAAGTCCCAGGTGATGGGGAGGCTCTTCGTCTAGGGACTACACTTTGAAGACTGCTGGTTTAGACAATTCGGAGTGTAGATATATGGAGGGAATCTGATTAGTTCACTGGTTCTTTAGTTTCCCATCTCCACAGCCCTTAAGAGTAGCCTGTAACGCTTATACAGACCAGGAGGAAGTGTTCCTTTACTGGGATCATACAGGTACCCATAACATGTGTTTTTAACTCAGTGGCCTTAAGCTATGTCTTTATAAGCCTAGCTTCTAGAGCATCCTTGGGGATTTAGGCTCTCCTGAGCACATCAAAAAGTAGTTGTGATCCTGCTATTTACCCTCAGCCAGGCTCGGCTTTGCTGTGGCTTAACCATATCATTGTAATGCTTGCCTCAGCACAGAAAGCAAAAACAAGCTGGGCGTGGTGGCACATGTAATTCCAGGGGGATCAGGAGGATTGCTGTGTGTTCAAGGCCAGCCTAGGCTATCAGAGCAGGGTGGCCTTCAACTCACTATGTAGCCCAGGTTGGCCTCAAACTTAAGAGATCTTCCTGCCTCAGCCTGAGCCTCCTGCCTGAGCCTCCTGTGCCGGCAGTACAGGTTTGTGCCACCACACCCAGCATGAAAAACACATTTCTTAAAAACTTTGAGAGGGCTGGGAGTGTAGCTCAGTGGCACTGTACATTTTTAGCGTGTGCCAAGGCCCTGGGTTCAGTCCCAAAGACAAACTTGATTTTAAGGCACTGGATTTGAAGGATAAAGAGAAAGCCTTTTGATAATGAAGAGATTAGGAGAAAAGGTTCATGCGGTAATTTTAAAGGTGTGGCTGGGATGAGTGGAGGGGAAAGAGGCGTGGTGGGCCATGGCAAGTAAGGAGAAGTGTGACTGAGAAACTCCTGTCTCTGGCATGTTGATGGCACCTTCTGGCTTCACTGTGGTAGCACAGGGAGATCTCTCTGAGGCCAGAAAATCTGGGTCAGCAACCTTTCTGACAACTAGGAATTCTTCCCCTAAGAAATGTTGCTTGCATAGATTTTACAAGCCACTCAAAGGGTGAAAAAGAAATTGTCTTATTCTCCTCACAGAAAAACACTGTGTAGGAATGAATTTAATGCACATTATTGAAGTGATGTTTTGCTCTCTTTTGTCAAAATCACTGGTTCATTTAGAGATGTGGTCTCAACGATTAACCCAAAAAACTAGAATGCTTTGTTCCAAGGCATATCCTGACCTAAACCTGACACCCCAGAAGCTGCCCTACCAGTGGAAACTGCACTGCATCCTAACCCTGCCCCTAAGCATGGTGAGCTGCACACCGGAGAATTCTGCGCTACTGCAGGAAGTGAGCAGCAGACAGTACCTCAGGGTGGGAGACAGGCTCTCCGAGGGTGGTGTAGGCAGGTAGCTAGCTGGTCAGGCTGATTCCAGCTTCCAACTCAGAGCCTACCTTATAAAGGAAGATACTGGGGAAAACAGCTGTCAAGCCCTTGTTAAAAGTTTATTTTTTAAAAAACTCAATGTTCTGCCCTGTCCTTAATCTCTAGATGGAGACAGGGTCTGAAGAGTTACCACCTGCACAGGGCAAAGGTCCAGATCATGGCGGATTTCAGCCAGTGGATCCTACCTTCTCTGTGGTGCATGTGGCAGTCCAGTTCCTGGTGGTAAGATGTGGCCTCCCAAGATCCATGTGTTAACTTTCTTCACAAGTTAAATAAGTCATTTGCCTGTCAGTCCCTGGGACCACAGGTTTCACAGATGCTGGGATTGCAAAGCCTGTGTACCGTGTTCACCAGGCTACACTCATTTCATTTAGCATCCAAGAAACACCACCTCTTCTATTCAGGACTGGAGTATCTAGGCTTCTCCTCTGGAATCTGGCAGCAAGCCTAGTCTGTGGGCCACTGCAGTGCCACATGCTTCCTTCCCTCCTGAGCAGGTAGTCTGGTCACAGAGCCCACTTCTCAGCCACAGTGGGTTCCCGGGTCTCCTCCGGAGGTGCAGGCACGATCCCTAGCTCTGGGCCAGCACTGCTCCCCGACTTGGCTGCACTAACTCACAAGCTCTTAGCTGAGGTTCTGGTAGGTGGAGCTCAGCTAGAAACAGGCGAGTCAGTGTTGCTAATTCTTCAGAGAAGTCCTGGAGTTAAGGACAAAGGTGACAAAAAAAGACAGACATGGGATGTCTGAAGATCAACCCCTAGGTTATCAGGGGGTAGACATGCCCCAAAGTGTACCAAGGTGGATGTGTGACCCTGGATTACTAGTATTTGGGGAGGTGTATATTGTGGCAGGTGAACTCTGGAGGAGGCTGAGGCTTTACCTATCCTGCCTTTATCTGCCTGTGGTACTGTTACCAATTCAGTACACAGTACCTCATCTTGAAACTACTTTTCCCTGAATCACAAAAGAAAAAACTTAGGCTGAGATTCAAATCCAAGTTATCCTGATTTTAAAAAGCCATATTCATTGTTCCCTGCTGCCCTCCCCAGATACTCCCCACCCCAGTTCCTCACACAGCTGCTCCGGTCTGAAAGAACCACAACAGCCATGCCTCAACCCCTGGGTGTCCTGAAGAAATCTGACACAAGTCTACCTGCTCTCTCCCCATTACTCGTATGACACCTCTCTCTCTTCCTGGGAGATAAGAGGAAGGGGCAACTTACCACTGGCCACGGGGCCTCATGGAGGCTGCCCAGGCCGGCCTCGATCTCCATTCGGTCCATCAGACCCTTTTTTACCAGCTCCCGTAGCAAAAACAGCAGCAGGTCCCACTGAAAAGCCCACCACAGAGGAGATTAGCATTGCGGAGCACTGCAGAGTGACCGGGACTGGGACAGACGGCTCCAAAGTCAGAGCTGCAGTGTGGACTTGAGACAAACACAGGGAGTCTGCTTTAGGGCAGAACAGGAAGCACGGCAGCTCCGCAAGCCCCTCGGCCACAAATGACTAAGAAGCCTTCCTGTTCTCTGGGCTGACTTACCTCCCGTGGCCGAGTGTCTGCCAGAAGCCCCACATTTCTCGGGCTCAGCAGCAGCTGCAGTGGAACTGGCCCCTGGAAGTCATCTTTCCACAGGGAAACCAGCATCAGCAGAAGCCTCCGTGCCTCTCCTCGCTCTAGCCTGTGTGGTACAGGGGGCCCTAGAATGGGGATCTGGTCTGCAACTATGGAAGAGAGGGAAATCAGGGTCTGAAAATGGAAGGTGAAGAGGGCTCTGTCCTCCAGTCTTGCTTGCACTTCTTCCTGAGATCTGGAGGATGTGCAAGCAGGGTGCGATAAAAAGCCATACCCAAGAGGGACGCTAACTCCACAGAGCACTTGGCCAGATGCTGCTCAGCAGGTGGGCACAGGAACTGCAGGGGAAAAGGGAGCCATCAGCACCATCTCACCGCTGGGAGAACTGGCCCTGGGCCAGCACAGCTCTGCTGCTGACACCTCCTCCATGGCCCATGCCCAGTCTCACCTGGCGGCACCGCAGCATCTGGCGAAGCTGGCCCAGGAGCTGCTCCAGGTGTTCTGGAGACACTCCTTCGTCAGGGTCCCGGGGCCCCACAGCCAGGGAGAGCACATCCTGCAGAGAGTAGGGCGAGACCTCATGCCAGGCTGGGGCCAGGCTCCCATTGACAGGCATGGGGAGGGAACCAGCCAGTGGAGAGGGACAGAAGGAAAAGGAAAATAGGACCCAGGGGTGAAGCAACTGGACACCTTGGGGTGTCCCTAGAGCTGCGGCTCAAGCAGTACAGCATGGCTAGGAAAATTAACCATAGGGAAACCCAAGGGGAGGGATGGAGCAGATCAATGGAAGGATGATGAGCTGCCTGACAGCTCCAGAGATGCCACTCAGTGTGGGACAAGCCACCTGACCAACTCCTAGAGGGCATCTCACAGCACTCAGGGGACAGTCCTGTTAGACACAAGTCTGAATGTCTCCTATTCCTCAGGCTTCTGTTCACCTCCTCAGACAGTAGAGGTTTCAGTACAGATCTTCACAGTGAGAACCAGTTATTTCGTGGCTACCCTCTCAGTTTTTAGTATTGCTTCCTGGTCCCTATTCCACATCTTTATTCCTAGACTAGTACGCTAGACCAGAGCCACAGAGTAAGTACATTAGGCTATGCAGTGCTGCCACTGCAGCACAAAAGCAGCCATAGACAAATGCAGTACAAATGGATGGGAAAAGCAGTAAAACACAGAAACAGCCATGCTGGGCATGACTCCACATTCCTGTAATCTCAGCGCTTGGGAGGCTGAAGCAGGAACATTGCCACAAGTTTGAGGCCATCCTGGACTCTGTGGTGAGACCCTGTCTCAAATCACTGAGGCACACACCTATAATCCTAGTACTCTAGGGAGGCTGAGGCAGGAAGACTGCCAGGTTCTATCCATCCTGGGCAACTGAGCAGGACTCTGTCTTAAAAATAATGAAGGGCTGGGGCCCTGGGTTCAAACCTAAGTATGCAAGGAGAAAAAAGGCTCAATTTGGTCTATATACTATTTGCTGACCCTGTAGAAAGTCTAAAGTTTTTAAACCAAGGTAGGACAACTATTATTTTATGACTAAGAAAGCATCATCTCCCCCATAGAACACTAATCACATCTGCTCCTGGAGTAACTGCCCCTTAAGACTGCAATACTTCACAGCCACGGGACTCCTGTTCCCACTGCCATCTGTGTAAAATACACTTTTGTCATAACTCTAGATTGACCTATTTGTGCTATGGGGGATGTGAGTGCCAAAAGTCGAACATGAAGGAAATGCCTTGATTCTGTTCTGCCTTACCTACTTTCTCTCAGTAACAAATGAAACAAACTAGCCAGACAACACGGAAAGCTTCTACACAGAAATCCTGCAGCTGATGTGGGAAAGGAAAGAAACCAGGAACAGCGGGGAAAGGAAACAGGGAGCTGAAGGGAGTAGGGAGCTGTGTACTTTTATCTCGGAGATGAGGTGAGAGGGGAGGGGAGCGTGGTGCTCACAGGCGCGGGAGCAGCCCCTCCGTTCCCCCCGGGCAGCAGGTTCAGGACCCTGGCCTCGAAGTGTGCGACTCACGGCAGCTTTCACCTCCCTCCTGATCAGCGCTGCAGGGGATAATGGGAACGGGGTCACTGGGCTGGCCCTGAACAGGCTCGCCGTGCCAACCCACACCCTTCCCATTTCCAGCTAATTGGGGCTGACCTTCCCAAACTGGAAGCCCGTGGCTTCCAGTCTATCATTCAAAACTGCACAATTGGGGCCAGGGATATAGCTCAACAGTACAACCGCCTGCCTGGCAAGTGCAAGGTCCTGAGTTTGATGCCTGGTAGCCGCCCCCGAAAAAAAAAAAAAAAAACCCTGCACAACCTCACCTGTGATATTGGCTGACAACCACGCACAGGCCTTCTCGGTCGCCAGCCCCACAGCAATGCTCTCTGCGCTGCTGAGAACCTGGGAGGATGAACAGCAAGTCAGGGGCCAGGGCAGCAAGAGCTGCTCGAGTCCAGGACTGACCCCACCCCCAGTGGCTTCACACAGATGCACGCGTACATACATGCATGCACGTGCACATACAACACGGGCCTGCTGGTTCCAGGCCTCTGCCCTACTACATACAGCTGCTGGGGTCTCCTCTGGAAGCAGTGCCCGCACAGCCCCAGGGCTCTTCCTTTGGCAGAACCTCAAAGGAAACAGGAGGAGGCTGTGAGGCCTGCACAGAGGCACTGCCCACCTCCCACCCCACCCCAAGTGCTGGAGGAGGGAGAAGCCCACCCATCACGAGTCAGCCTTGACCTTTGTGCCTCAAGATGCATGAGCCTAGAGCAGAGAGGAAAATGGAGGTGGGGGTACAGGATGTGCGTGTCAAAGGGGACAGCGAACAGAAAAATAAGCCAAGAGTGGAGGAGAGGTCCAAAAATCTGGATTCTTACTCCCGGCCCTGTGTCAATGCCTGAGCCCCATGCGGGCACAGCTGGGAATACAGGATCTCCAACAACTGGGCTGGATCCCCTACTTCCTGGCCTTGTGTCACTCGCTGCTCTTGGAGAAGTGACTCAGCTTGGCGAACCAGATCTGCCACCAGCGTTGCCCTGCAGCAGGAACAGCAAGGTTTGGGGTAGTTAGGTTGAATCGAAAGGGGCTGCGAACTGAAAAGGATGTTTGGTTAAGACTCGCTTGGGGGCTTGTCGGCTTCCTGCTCTCCCAGCTGACTCTTCTCACTTTGGCAACATGGTGACTAAAGGGAAAATGGTAGGGACCCTCCAGGCGCTCTTACTTGATGTGTTTGACACAGTTCGACCCAATTCTCTCTGCCACAAACTCCACAGTCCTGCGCAGTGAGGGAGGCTGGTTGTGGAAAAAGGCCTGGGCGAGCTGTGCCTGTGAGGAGAGCAGTGCCATGAGGCCCCAGCCGCCTTCTGCACCAGCCTGCCCCTGCCCCTGCCCCTGCCCCTGCCCCTGCCCCTACCTGGAGTCCTTGGCTGCTCGGGGGAAGCTGGGCCCCCAGGCCGGTGGTGGTGGTGGGGGTGATTTTCCTCACAAAACCCCCACTCCGTCCACTGCTGCCTGAAACCCACGACGCGAGCAGTTTCCGGAGCTCTCCTGCAGCAGGGAAGTCTCAGTTCTTTGTCGCTGGCAGAAGCCTGCCAGCCTTGCCCACGCCTCCCAGGTGGTAAGTACTCAGGCTCAGCACCATTCAGGGAGCGTGGCCAGCAGTGGGGATGCCCTGGGGATGCGAGAGAGGAGCCCCTGCTCACCGATGTAGGGGCAGCAAGTGTAGAGAAGCTGCTGGTCCACCACAGGCACGCTGTCCTGCGGGACAAAAGGCGGTGTTGGTCCTCCCCAGCCTGCCCAGGGGTGGCCGTCAGGTAGAAAAAACTAGGAAGTTTTTATTTTCCCTGGGCTTGTCTTCCTGGGTTTCCCAGACAGCTAGGCTCCCAGGCCGCTGGCTCACCAAGCCACGCTCTGAAGTGGCTGTGTCCACCTCCAAGGCATCCACCTGACACTCTTCCAAAAAGAAGAAATCCTCAGGGACTGTGGGAATCTGGCAAGAGAGCAGCCATGCTCTAGCTGGTACTTCTGAGTCTACACCTCATGACATCACAGGGCAGGGCCTAGGCCCCTGAAGCCAGATTGGTACCCCCGGCCCCGCCTCCCTCCCACGCTGCGCGCTCCTGTCCTCTCCCTGCTCCAGCACCACTCCATGTTGGGACCCGCAGGCTGCCCACCTGGAAAAGCCAGCCCAGGACGGCCAGCAGCAGCAGCTTGTTTAGAAAACACATTTCTCCTTCACCCTCCCATGACAAGACCAAGCTCCTGAAAGATAAATGGAGGATGTAAAGGGAATGCGTGCTCAGGGATGGGACAGACTGAACAGACGCCATCACTGAAAGGACTGCTCTCGCAGACTTCCTAGGCACTGCTGTCACATAAGCAGCCAGCATCTCATGGTGTCCCCTGCCATCTCATCACCTCTGCTATGCCACAGGAGACAGAAAAGGGCCAAGGGCAAGGCAAACCATCACACACGCACCCTTGCTGTGGGCCAGTGGCCACCTCTCTAAGCTCAGGGCTGACGAACAGCACAGGAAGCCCAGGAGCTCAGCCTCTTGAGAAGCAGCAGGCCTGCCTGCTGCGGCCCTACACATCCTTTGTTTTTGAGACAGGGTCTCGCTATGTAGTTCAGGCTGGCCTTGAGCTCACTATGTAGTCCAGGCTGGCCTGGAACTCACAGCAATCCTCCTGCTTCAGCCTCCTCTTCTCAGCCCTGTCTATTCACCGGTGGAGGTGCAGCAGGAGAGTGAAGACACTCCGGTAGTAGTCCAGCAGAGGGACGATGTGGTCGGCAAAGGACAGGAACTCCACCAGCCAGGGCACTGTGAGCACCGCCCGCTGGGCCTGCAGCCCCTGCTGCAGCAGTGCACGCACATCCAGGACAGGAGGAACCTGGGAGAGCCAGGGCTTGGTCAGCAGGCAGCGGGTCCTGGGTGCCATTCCTCACCTGCCAGCTTTCCAGAACAGCCAAGGAAACAGCCAGCCTCTGCATTTTGCCCAGCTCCCAGCTCCCTCCTACCCAGGGCTTTGCGCTCATTCACCTGGCTCCTAAGGGCCACAAACGAGTCCTGAAGCTCCCGGCTCTGAGGTGGTTCAGGCCCCCGGTACGGCAGGAAAGCCACAAAGCCCAGAAATTTAGCCAGAAGTCTCAGACTAAGAAGCACCACAGCAAACTGCCTCCGCTCACCCTGCAAGGAACCAAAGGAGCAACAGTGACACACCTAAGGCTTCCAGAAAGTTTCCAAATCTGCCTTCCTATTTGTACTATCTACCCTCCTCTCCCAGGTTGGGCCCATCCTTCCTTGTTCTGCTAACCTGCCAGTCCACATCTGACTCCCCATCTTCATCCCCAGGCTCATGCTGAGGCAGTGGGAGGCCATTGAGCTCCTGGATCTTCAGGCTCAGACTATCCATGAGATGCTGATTAAACTGGAAGCTGGGAGCGGGGAGGAGGAGGGGGCAAAAATGAGACCACTTGGCCCCACCCTATTATATCCCAGGGAAAGGAGAGAAGGGGTTGTCCTTTTGGGAAGCCAAACCTCTCCTAACTTCTGCCCCCTCCCTGTAAGACACAGGACCTTTACCTGCTGGCACTCAGAATGAAGTCCTTGAAGAAACCTTGACAGCCTGGGAAGGTGGGGGGCGGGCAGGGCCCCCCACCGCTTGGAGGGGCTGCAAGCCGTTCCTGGAGCCGCCGTAGGCGCCCCAGCTTGTCAGCTCCCAGCATATTCAGCACATCTGGGGCCTCACCCAAGACGGGACCCCCAGCACCACCAGGGCTCTGGCACATCTAGGGTGGCCGGGAGAGGAGAGAGAGCCGACAGAAAGGACAAAGTAAGGAACATTTCTGGAGAGCTGACTCCATGTCAGGGGCTCTGGGCAGTTTTTGAAGCAGGGATTTTATTTTTATTCTAAAGGTAGAGAAAGTGAAACTGTAAACAAGCACTTGCCCAGGGTCACTAGAGCTAGGATGTGAAGAGGTCTATGAAGCCTGTTGTCTTTCTACCGTGGCACACGCCAAGGGAAAGAAGGTGGTAAAAGGCTTGGGAGGGCACAAGGTATGGGGCACAGGCTATGGAGAGGTCAGAGTACTGTTTCTGCTCTGGCACTTGAATGTGAAATACCACCCAAGGAACCTGTCCAGAGTGCTACCTCTCCTGGTAGCCTACAGTACCTGCTGTAGGTTAAACTCCTGCAAAAGCTATTACCTGAAGAAGTTGTTTTTGGAAAAGCCGAACAAAGTGGCTGTGGCTGCAGGCTGCAGAGAGCTGACTCATCATGGCTCTGGAGAGTAAGAGGCAGGCATGGAGTGTGGGAAGGAGGGAAGGAGAAAGACCTAGGAAAGCAAGCCAATTCTTGGGCTTCTCAGCCACTGCCTGGGGATGGGAGCAGAGCTGGCCTACTCAGGGACATGGGAGAAAACGAGGAACCCTCTCTCAGCACCAACATGCTGAGAGGCTAGAGGTGTGCTTAACCAAACAAGCAATGCCACTGCCAGCTCTGCAGGCCACACAGTACCAGTCAGCTTCATGACCAACATCAATGAGACTGAGTGGACAGAGGGCAGAGGACACTCTACAGCCTGGCCAGCCCCTATGCAAAGCCATCAGACTCGCTTCAACTCCATGATGGAGAAAATGCAAGTGGAAGGAGTCTTGCCACCGGCTCAGGACAAAATCTAAGCAAACTAAGCCGTCTGCACTTCGGAGTAGGAGAAACAGGCAGACAGGTCCCCTCTGAGCATAGGCAGAGCTATCAAGCACCAAACTGAGGAGAAAATAACTGGGCTGGAAAGAGTGGAGAAAGCCTTTCTCCGGCAGCCTGCTGAGCACCACTGAGCTGCTGTCAGAAGCAAGAAGGTGACCAGGGTATGAGCACCCACCTGATCCTGCTGCCCAGTCCCTTCTCAAAGTCCCAGCCAGGCTCCTCATGGCGATCTTCCCACTCTCGAAGCACTTCATAGAATACATCCCTGACAGACACACAAGGCCTGATCAGATGCTGCACAGCTACCTCACTCATTTCCAAGTGTGGCCTCCTTGCTTCGAAGGCCAAGGCCACCCCTGCCCACAGCCCCATTCCTTAGCCTCGAAATCACTCTATGGAGATGCCACAGACCCAGCTACCGGGCATTGCAGCCCTTGCGCACTCGCTTCTGTGGGCAGCGAAAGTCAATCTGGGCACATGCGTGTCTGAGAAAGGGACTGAGCTCATGTGCCGTGAGACGGCTAAGCTCAGGGTTCAAGTCCATGAGCACAGAACAGTGACGGCCCTGCAGTGGTTGTCATGAAGGGCCTGGTGGCACTAACCCACCACTTACTTGCTAGACTCTAGGTTCTAGGACAATAAAACAGCTGCCTATTCCAGAGAGTGTTACTTCATCCCCCTCCCCAAAAGTTCTCTTTTCACCTCTGTTTTTTAAAGGTATGAAAGGCCCGGTCACTGGAGAAATTGGCACGATTGTCAGTCTCTGGCTGAAAGGAGACAGCTTGAGCAGAGGGTGGCATCGTCAGAGAGACCTGAAACATGGCAGTGACATCAGGACTAAAGCCCAATGAGCTATGGTCAGAAGATGCAACCCTTTGTCTTGCCAGGTTATTCCATAGGTCACTTAATGGTGAAGAGCAAGGTGCCTAAACTCATCTGTGAAAGCTGGGAAGGCCAGGTCCAGACCAGTGGGCATTTCAGCTGGTGTCACTACCTTGGCAACGCTGCCCTCATAGGCAGCTCGAAGGCGGCCTTGCAGAGCCGGGGAGAAGCACAGCAGCCGCTCATTCTCAGCCAGCAGCTTTAAGGTCCCTTTGTCCAGGTAGGAAAGAATCCTGCAGAGATGAGAACACACGTGACTGGGACTGGGACCAGCTGACACAGGGAGCAGCACCGACACACCACATGTAGCACGTCTGGAACACGGAGCGGGTACACCAAGGGTCAATGTGATGGAGACAAACGATGAGGAAGTGAGACCCCGTGAAGAAGAGAACAAGTGAGCAGGCCAGAAAGTCAGCAGCGAACCCAAGGTCGGCTGCCAAGAGTATTTGACATTTTGAGGGGATAAATCCATAGCCTTGACACAAAATTTTTACAGGCAAGAAAAGGTCCAGGGCCACTACCTCTGTTATGCACAAGCATACCCAAAGTGGCCTAAGAACAAGAGAGACAAGGAGAACAAGGCCCAAACGCCTCGGCCAGGGAACTCACTGAAACTGATGCTCCAAAACCTGGACCGCGAAAAAGACACAGTCGTGGATGCTCTGGAACAGTGGGCTTTCCAGGGAATCTAGGGTAGCAATGAGCTGTCAGGAAGGACCATCCCATCTGCAGAGCCCACTCTCAAAACCAGTCTTGCTCACTGACCCAGGGTACCTTGACTTGGTTCAACGTCACTGTCCTTGGCAGCCACCATCCTCCGGGCAGTAAGGAGCTGAAGGACGAAGTAAAGCTCCAAGAAGAGGTTTGGTACCAGATTTTCTGGATATAAAAAGAAATTCCATTGTACTGGGCACCATTTGGAGCTGCGTCTCAGTTTTGCACGCCTTGGTGATCCTCTTGCACACAGTTCTGCACGGTGCTCCCGGCAGCCCTCTGGGCTCACTCACCAGCAATGCAGGAGGAGTAGACGAGGGCTACCACCTCCAGGCGCTGGCGGGACGACACTCGGGCAGGGTCCGCGGGTTCCGCGGCGAGGCTTCCCGTCCGGCTGGGGAGGGGCGGTCCCGATTCCGGGAGGGGGCAGGTGGGGGCTGGTGACTGCTGCAGCTGCTTAGAGCTATGAGGACAGAGACAGCAGGAGGGTCAGTCAGCCCGGCTCCCAGGCCACAGTCACAGGGATCCCTCAGAGAAGGTATCCACAGCCCAGGCAACAAACCCAGAGGCCCCGGGGAGTCACTTAGGAGGGAAAGCCCTCCAGGTCCCCCACGGGGAGGAAGCGGACATCCAGCGAGCGGCACGGCCATACCGCTCCTTCCTGAGCATCGCCCGCTCCTCCTGCAGACTTCTGCACCCTGGGGGAAGGCCAAGGCCCCAAGGGCTAGTGTCCAGGGCTGAGGGTTGGGAACTGGGGACACAGCTGATTGGGGGTGAGGTGAAGCAGGTCTTGGGCTTGGACAGTGACCGCTCTTCGCTCACCGGAGTTGGGTTGATCCTGCGTGAAGGCTTCGTCCTGCTGAGAGTGGCCACAGGTTCCCTCACATTTCTATCTCCGCGCACCACCCCCTCACCACGGCGGCCGGCCGCGGCGCCCTCGCCGCTGCCCACCGCTCCCCGCCTGCCAGCCTCGCG